AGAACTTACCAGGGCTGACCCAGTTTAGCTTCTGAAATCAGGCAGGACCTGGCGCCTTTAAGATATAGGGGCTGATGGGCATTGTAGCACTCTCTGACTGCATCTCCCTTCCCAAATTCCCTCTCCCTGCCATAGCCATTAGACATCTCAGTAAGCTGAAGTTGAAAACAAATCTCATTGGAGGGAGCACGACAGACAGGGGAGGCTCATAACTACAAGGCAGAAATTCCCCACCCTGATTAGAGGCATCTTTTTGGCCACAGAGGGAAACTGAATGCCGGACTGGGCAGGCTTCAACTTCAAGACAAGAGGAACACATGGGTCATGGTGACCAACAGAACAATTCACAGAGCCAAGCATGGAGAAAGAGATTCTTTCTCAGGAAAGGGCGGGGGGGGGGGGGGTCTAGGACTGAAATAGTCTAAGCCAAGGATAGGAAGCATATGGTTGTCCAGATGTTGGGCTGCCAAACTCCAATCACCATTCTAGGACTGCTGGCAAGGGCTTCATGGGCGTTGTGCAAACATCTGCTCCTACAATCCCCGTCTCTGGCCTAGCTATCTGATGCTAGATGTCTGATGGAAGGGGCTTGGGGTGGGAAGGCTCAGGTCGTCATCTCTATAAGAATGCAGCAGGGCAAACCAATACCACCTCCTACACAGTCCAAACCACAGACAACGTCTGTTGGCTGCTTACCTATTCCCCCAGAATGCTTCTCACTATCTCTGAACACATCTTGCATTTTCCCCATTTTCTGAAACAGGATCCACAGATAAAACTGGACAAGGCACCAGATTTTTGGAAACCCAGCTCTTGTTTATCCTGACTGATAAGCCTGCAATCTTGGCTGCTGCTCCTTCAGCAAAATGCTAGCACTCCAATAATTCCTGTTTGCCTGAGAGAATTGCACCCTTTACTCCTTCCCGCACTTTCCAGATGCCTTTTATTATGATTATTGACATTTTCCACTGTTAACTGTGGACCTTACAGTCCAACAACCTTTATGTTCTAGCCAGAGCAACACAGATTTATATGAGAGAGGGGTGTCAGAGAAGCACCATGGCTTATTCACGCCAAACCATTTATTTTACACATATCTCAGAAAGTTTGGATCCCTGGAATCCGTTTTCATTAGCAGAAGGAGAAATGTGAAAAGAGGTTGACCCAGTTTCTAACTGAACCATTTCAATATACACAGTGAAGGACTTCTCCAGATCTGAACTTCAACATTCACCCCACTGCACATGTGTGCTTTCCACACTTGCCATGAACTCTCCTGCATCACTCCCTCTTCACACAAACATGACATCACATAGTTGTGTTTGCTCCTATGGTAGGGCTCTGTGGTCAAAAAACCAGAAGAGAATACAGTTGTTGGTCAAGAAGCAAACAAATTAGAAACACTAAAGGTTTAGGTGTGTTTAACTGCACTGGAGGATTCTGCAAGTTGCAGTAAAAGGAGGAATGTTCCTTCTGTCAAGAATTATACAAGTTAGAATCACAGAAGGCTGCCTCAGATGAAGTTAGCCCATTGGCCCACCAACAATGATTTGGAGTAGCTCTTTGATATCTCTGTCTGGATTCCCTCCTAGTTCTACCTAGAAGATTGAACCAGCAAAGGTTATTTCAAAACCTTTGCTCTACTAGTGACTTGCTGTCAGAACTATTATTTTTCGATGGTGTCGTTTTTAAGAGTGATTTAAAAATGAGCTTTTGAAATGGTTATTAACCCCTTATAACAAATTATTTTCCTTCTTAACAAAAAGTCTTCATCTGGCACAAAGGAAATAACATGGACTCCAGATAAAGTTAGTTTTAAATAGAAGACAACTGAGAAACAAGCACACGGGTGTAAACTTTCCTGTGGTCAGTGCCAGGGAGGTCTACTTATTACCTTAATAACAGCCCTTTTGGGCAAAACTACTCCCCCCCCCCCCACCTCAACAAGCATGATAAATGCCACTATGAATTCAGCATTCAACAAAGCGATGGTTTCAACAAGGCCATCTAAGCTGCCAACAAACCAACTGCATGTTCTGATTGTAGTTTCTGGAAGGTTAACAAACCACAGGTTGTTAGCAGAGGTGCATTAACCTACCACAGCAAGCCAAGTGCCAATAAACGACATTGTGGCTTGTTGAAACATGTGAATACAATAATTATGGTAATGTGTGAAATAACAGAAATCGCTTCCAATTCCAAGGCATTCGCAAGCAATTTTGGAGCCATGGAATATGAGCATGGCTATTTTCCCCCTCTGTAAATTACTTTCACGGCCACTGACTTTTAGTCATTCAGCACAAGATCTACATGAAACTATCTCTTCTTAAGTGCCAGCTATGCAGTGACTATTCTAGTTTCACTTTTTCTGAGTATTTTTTGTTGTTGTTAAGACTGCAAGATGGTAAAAATAGGTGAAACCACCTCTTTCTGGTTCCTGGCACTTTTCACATTTTTACTCATAATTCTCTTTCATCTTGCCATTAATGTGACCCCATTTAAACATGCATTTTAACCAATAGTCAAAAACACTTTCCTATTAAAGTCTATTTTATATCTTTTTTCAGAGATAGGAAATCTATGGCCCTTCAGGCGTGGTTGCACTAGAAGTCCCATTGACCAGAGATGATAGGTATTATAGCTCCTAGTGATGGAAGCAGGTTGAATTCCCAATGGTTTTTATGGGTAAGTTTTGGTAAGAGAAACAACTGGAATGTTTTGGACTAAGAAAGCACTGAAATTTTTAAAATACATTCGCTGGACTTGCAGAAGCAGGTAAGTGGAGCCAGATGACATGGAAAGAATATAGTTAAATTGTCAGTTATCACATGCCTCCCCACCCTATTTTGTTTGGCTAGCAAAGCTAAGAAGTTGCCCGTTCTGTATGAAATCAAGTTTTAAATGCATGTGACCCAGTGTCATGTTTCCAGGATGAGGGGTGGGAGTATAGCTGATGGGGGAATACACAAAGAAACATCTATATTTCCATGTCATGACCGCCTTTTCCCCCAAAACCATTTTACATGAAATTCTACATGGTGCCTTTCTGAGACAGCCACAAGGTTTGTCTAGAAGGCCATCTAACGACATCCTCATTGACAAAAGAAGAAAAGTACATTTGAAAGCCAGAAAAAATATACACTTTCCCCCAGGCCAATCAATGCAAGTCATGTGTTTGTCAGTCCTGCCCATCATAATCTGGTGACCACTGAATTCCAACTCTAAGTAGTCTAAGCTACTTACAAAGGAATGAAAGACTTGGCCATTTTTAATAATCCAGATATTCTAAGAGAAACTATTACCCTTAAATATACTCAATATCCTCTTTTTTGCATAAAACCTGTCATAAAACAGATTACAACACAAAACCACAAATAATATCATTAAGCCCTAAAAGCAATGGTCAAGATTCAATGGTGTACATTGCTATACAATGGTAGCTAGCCATCCTGAGTCCCTCTGCGGAGGTTGAGATAGGACGAGATATAAAAGCCCGAAATAAATAAATAAATAAATAAATAAATAGTGCACTCTGGACTTCTGGCCAATATTTAATGCCTAAATGCAGGTGCTATCCAGATCACCAACTGGAAGGGGTTCTTCTCTTCGAGGGTCAAAGGCAGGGATCCTCAAACTTTTTGAACAGAGGGCCAGGTCATGGTCCCTCTAACTGTTGGAGGGCCGGATTATAATTTGAAAAAAAATGTGAATGAATTCATATGCACATGGCACATATCTTATCTGTAGTGCAAAAAACACTTTAAAACAATACAATAATTAAAATGAAGAACAATTTCAACAAATATAAACTTATTAGTATTTCAATAGGAACTGTGGGCCTGATTTTGGCTGATAAATAGGATTGTTGTTGTTGTTGTATGCTTTCAGGTCGTTTCAGACTTAGGTTGACCCTGAGCGAGGGCCGGGTAAATAACCTTGGAGGGCTGTATCCGGCCCCCGGGCCTTAGTTTGAGGACCCCTGGTCAAAGGTATACCAAAGGATGGTACACCAAGATAAAACAAGTGGCACAAGTACTCTTTGTTGCTTGCTTGGTTTTCCTTTAAGGAAGAGGAAGAGAAAGAAGCAATGTAGCAATGTGTGACAGGCAGTACATTTCCAGCAAAGAAACTCTAGGTTCAAATCCCCACTGAGTCATCACTTACACTGGGTAACCTCTGGTCAGACCCCGTATCTTAGGCCAACGTGCTTCAATGGATTCTTGTGAGGGTGAATATGGACAGAGAAAGCAGGCAAGACCCTTCTAGGCATTGTGAGCTTTCTTGGAAAAAGAGACTACAACTAGCCTTCCGCATTTGCGGGTTTAATTTTTGTGGATTTGATTAATATGTTATCTCCAAGAATCTCTAAGTCTTCTACGGAGATTCAAATGGTAAACTTCCAGTGGAAATTGACCACAGTCGACCTGGAGGACTGAGGCAGTTGCCTCACTTTGCTTGATTATGTGGTTGGCCCAAAGAGCCACTCAACAGGTTCCTGACTGTGCACCAGCACCTAGAAGAGGAGAGCAAGCAAGTTGGCCATCCCATCAGTTAGTGAAGTGGGATCAGCTATTCCCAGATATTTATAAACACCTCCAAGTGAGGCTGGCCCATGGAGATGTAATTGTAGGAAAAACCATGGAGGTCACGGTCCACTTCAAGAGTCTTTAGCCTTTTTATTTGTGGAGACATCAAGGAAAAGTAGCAGCTGGTGTTCTTCGGCATTGCTCCAAGTAAATCAGCTTCCTATGTTTACAATTAATGAGCACAAAAACATTAAGGCAGAACACACCCTGCTAGACTCTCATTTAACATATGGCTGCTGTCAATAGCAAAACAATAACTGGTATTTATCACTTGTTATTTTGTTTACAGTTAGCTACTATTACTCAGATTCAAGAGCACTACAACAATTACCCCTCTATATTACGCACACCCAGTGTAGTATCAGAATGCTCCTAGAGTGTTGCGACTTGTATCAAGTAATATCAGATCCCCCCTTCTGCATGCATTTTCCCCATTCATTGGGGCTGAAGAGGATCTCAGCCAATACATTTTGTTTGTTGCCCTCTTGTGTTTTTAGCTTCCCAAAGCCTTTAACACCGAACACCAAGAGGAAAATTGATATTTTTTTTGCCCCAGTGCATCTCATCATTTCTCACTTAGGTTTATGAGAGTCAGTATTAGATTTTTAAGAGAAGCGAGGATTAAGTAACTTACAGCATTACGGTGGGCTCTACACTGTAAAACATAAAACCTGAGCAAGCTGCAACAAGCTAAAATCAAATGTCTGTAAGAAAAAACAAGCTACAAAAACACACAAAGACAAAAACAGAACAGTATAAAGAGCAGTAAATAATTCATAAATGTGGTCATCCAGTCGCTACTGGACTTAAGTGTCCATTAGACTTGTAATGATGACAAACCGTTTGGGATAATGGGAGATGGAGATGCTCATGATCTGTATGTGTGTGTGTGTGTGTGTGCGTGCACAAAGGTTCCACAGTTTAAAAGAAACAATGAAGCCACAACCAAAGTGAGGTGGCAGCAAACCACAAGGAACTCCCAACACTGTGTCAAGAGAGGGACAAGCTGCTTTGTCAAAGATATCTGTAAAAAGCCACATCTTAATCCACCATCTGAAAATCCATAGTGCTTCTAAGAGGCCACTCTTAGGAATATATTCATAAGAGAACTCTTTGGGTGTTTTAAACCAGATATGGAGAATTTGAAGACACCGTGCAAGAACACACAAGCAAGCTTTACTATCTAGATACCAACAAAAGCACTGTCAAACACAACCTCAAAGATCCTGTTCTTTGCAGGCGCCCACCATACTTTACTTGACAGATGAATCCCAAGCATGGTTTCACATGCAGGGACATACTGAAGGAGGAAATTCTTATGAAGAAAAACCATGGGGTCAGCATGCAAGCAAGTCCATTGACAGCTACTTTTGTAAAGATAAAGTAAACTTAAGCAAAAAGTCCCATACAAATGATGCAGCTTCATAAGCCCTAAAATCTGAATTCCAGATTTTCTCCCACTTGAATAAACATGTAAAATTGACACTTCTATGCTTTGCCTCCACAAAGAGATGTTAGCTATGGGAATGCCCCTTCAACCAGGCCCCTTCAGCTTCTTACCTTGAATTAAACAAAATGAATCATTCAGCAGGCTCCAGCTGGGTATTTAAGTCCAATACTTTGTCCTGGGGCAGGTTTACCCTCTCCTCAAAGCCTAGCAGACACATGTCTAACCTTGTCTGGAAGGCATCCAAAGAATGAGATTCCACCACCCCCCCCCCCCACCACCCCCATTGGCAGCCTGTTCCACCACAGTACAGATTTTAAATCTACATCCCTGAAGGCTGAATCCAGAGACTGGAAGAAGGAGGAGTCATAATTCAGTCAGAACTTGAAAAAGTTTGTGAACAGAACTCCCAGAATCTCATAAACCTCAGAATTCTGGGTGTAGAAGTCCAGTACGGCAACTTTTTAAAGTCCTGACTGAATTCCATTACTCTTTCTCCCATTCTCAGAGTTTACTTAGGCAATCCCTTATTGTCTGAGTATGATGGTATTCCAAGTTGTTGGAAGACATCTCTGTGTGATTTTTTTAAATGTGTGGAGGTCAGTGCACAGCCGATGAACACACAGTCTTCACAGAGTGAAGGTCCCAACCAGTAGTGTGGTTAACATGATGATGGCGGCTTCTCAATTTGTTGCAGCCTTCTTCCGCCTTCATAACCATTGTAACATGCACCATGTTATCCTTTGCCTGATCCACTGTTGAGGTCTTCAAATTATGCTTGATCTGGAACCTCCCCTGCGCCCCCCCTCCCTCCGGGGGGCATGACTCTGGTAGTTGCATCCGCAGGTTCACTGGAACACACAAGCCACCTCACCACAACAAGGTGACAATCTATCGAGACAAGGAGGGTGAAAATAATCTATATACCTGTAGATTTATATCTCTATATATCTTGGGAGATCTCACAAGCCTATCTCATGAGAGGCTTACCTTAGGGTCCCCATAAATCAAAATTGTCAATTCTGATGCCTAGACATATATACTTTATCATTTATTTCAGGGGCAGAATAATTTCAGATTTCCATGATCTTTGTTGCTGTAATGTGCTTTCAAGTTGCCCCTGGCATATGATACCTCTGTGTAACTCAACAATAGATTTCTAAGTACCACACTCTATCAAAACCCCACTGATTGCTACATATATTTTCATGCCTCCTAAGTGGAGGACATTTATTTTAGGGTTGTAAACTTTGTTGTTTAGGGTTGTAAACTTTGAAAACCTTTGCTCTTCAGATGTTTGAGATAACTCCCAATATCCTTACCACTGATGATTCTGGGTGAAGTTGACGGGAGCTGTAAGGCAAAATACCTGGAAAACCAAAGGATCCTCACCCCTAATTCACTTGTGTGCCATAATAAAACAGCATGTCACACAATTAAAACACCTCCAAAGTGTATACCAATATTGTGCAGTTATTTATCACACAGGACTCAAAGATACATTTTGCCATCTTAAAACAGTGGATGGGAGTGTTTGAGTAATAGCACAGCAATGCTGCTCTATTATTTTACTTCTCTCACTTGCTTTCATTAAAGAGAAATCCTTTATTCTGGCACAGTCTGTGAGAAATACCTTTGTTATGCTTGTTCTTCGAAAGCAAACAAGTATTCCTGAAAGCTAGAAATACAAAGAGGCTGGTTTCAGTTACAGCTGCATCGGCAAGTAAACCAATACTCTCTACCATCAAGGAATTGAGAAAGGAGAAAAGTCAATGATTCAGACATGACAAAATATTCAATACCTTTTAATCTATTTGGTTGTCTTTTTAAAAGAACAAATACAGGGCCTGATTTGGGAGCTACTCAATGGAGAGACCATTTTCAATGGTGCTACCATACCAGAAAATGAAGGATTTGAAGTTGCTGATCAAAGTACAGACCCCAGAATTTGATAGGATGGAACCAATGTCTCCACAAATTCCCATTCAACTTCAATCCAGAACTCTTGCTCAAACAGTGCTGTGGAATCCCGCCCCCCATCCATCCACCTGGTTTGGACAAACAAATGATGGGTATTAAAGTGGGAGCGTATAAGCCCATGACATGCCACCAGCAGCCAAACTATCAGGAATGAATAGGTGTGGGTTTTATCTGCTGCTTCCTACTGATAATTACAGGGTTGGCTTTTCTTTTTAGACATCACTGAATGATCACAAGTGAGAAGTCAGCAATGCTTGGGGAAGTTACATGCTTTAAAAGCACAGTGACATACTTCTTAATATGGAAGAATGCTCTAGTGCCAAATCTGGGCACATCTACATAAGAAAGTTGTAGATTGCACGGGGAAATGACTGCCAGAAAGTCCAGATAAAATAGGAAGACTCAGTGAAGTCAATGTGATTTAATCACAGCGATAGTATTCATCTCATTTTGGTATTAATTACATTTGGATACACAAAACATTTTTGAAGCACATTTTGCATCAAGACAATTGTTCAAAACACCCAAGAACTCTCTTCTAAGATGGGGCAGTTGAAACATGTTAAATTACTTTTTAAACTGTTATAACGAAGAAATCTCTCCCCCTCCTTAAGGCACAGTTCTTTGAGGCATGCTGAAATTAGAATATGAATACTTCATCATGCTTTCCCCCCAACCAAAAAATTATATAATGGAAGGGGAAGTACATCTTTCTAAATAACTATGCTTTTAAACTGCCAATTATTCCCATAAAAATAACTTCCAAGGAAGGTTTTGAATTTGTTGGACTATAAAAGTTAAGTTAAAAGAAAGCTGTAGACTTGCGTATACTTATTGGGGTTGCTGCAAGTTCAGTGGGACTTGCAAAGGAATCAATATATCAGAAATATGCTGGTCATGTTGAGGCGGACACTGGAAAACACTGGAAGACTGGACTACTGCAATGTACTTCATGCAGGGATTGGTTGGTTTACAACTCCTGAGCTGATGAAAGCAATAGTCTAGCCTCCCTAGAAAATGATATGTTAGGGGAATACTGGGATGTAATAGGCATCCCAATATTAAGTCACAACTGTTCATCCAGGCTATCAACAAGACTAATTCATTGATTGGCTGCATGACCTCTGGAACTCACATATTAACTCCTGACTGCATTTCTACCCAATTAATATAGGGGTGGCACAATTGTCAAGAGCCTATTGCTGTTTACAAAACCCACTTAAGCATGCATTGGAAAGGTCACTCCAGAACACAGAAAGTTACTTTTAAAAGGAATCAGTTGCAGTCAAGTTTCAAGACCAATCGAATTGCACCAGACCTAGAAAGGCCCACAAATAATTCCAGGGGTGAATATTTTTTGGAGTTTAAGTAAGTTTAAGCATGAATATCTAGTCTGTTAATAAGGGAATCACACTCTACATAAAGTAACCACATGTTTCCCCAGCCTAAATACCATAAAGACACCAGATCCTGTTGCATCATGAAGCTAAGCAGAGTTAGTCTTTGGATGGGAGACTATTAATTAATCCCAGGTGCTGTTGGCTACATATCTGAGGAAGGAACTGCAAAACCCTAGGACATTCATGGGGTTGCCATAAGCCGGCAAGCGACTTGAAGGCACACACATACTGCCCCCCCCCCCCAATCTTATCAAAGTTGGCATCTATAATATATCTTAGGTTATAAAATTCAAATTAAAAATCCAGTTATTTGTAATACAACCGAAGAGAAATGACCCACTATTGGACTCAGTAGAGTTAAACAGATCATAGCTGCAGCCCAACATGGCAAATCATCACCAGTTATTTGTGGCAGGAATAGGCTTTAAAATGTATTTGATTCCTAAAAAGTCTGGTCCTTACAGTCACTTCTGTTATTTAGATGGGATCACAACACACGTGAACAAGTCTTACAAAAAAGCCAGAGGTGTCTGTGTTGGGCATAAGAAAAGTTATGAAATTGTTTGACTTGGCTAAAGAGGACCTCTGAGC